CCCCCTTGACCTGTCCGTCCTCCCTGGACTGACCTATCCCCTCCCTAACTCCCCACCTACACTCACCTTTACTGGTTCCATCCCCGCCTCTTGGACCTGTCTGTCTCCTCTCCACCTATCTTCTCCTCTATCCATCTTTTATCCGTCTCCCCCTCTCTCCCTATTTATTTCAGAACCCCCTTCCCCTCCCCCATTTCTGAAGAAGGGTCTAGGCCCGAAACATCAGCCTTCCTGCTCCTCTGATGCTGCTTGACCTGCTGTGTTCATCCAGCTCTACACCTTGTTATCTGTGGGTGTCGATTGGGTTAGTGTCTGAAAGGTTGTGACCTGTAGAAGTACAGTGATTATTGTTTTTACATTTGAAGGATGGGACCGTCGATTACCATGAATATGTGACTGGTGTCAGTCTTCTGATACAGGGCACTCCGGAAGAAAAGCTGAAGTGGTCGTTTAAACTTTATGACAAGGATAAGGACGGAGCAATTACTCGTTTAGAGATGCTGGAAATTATGCAGGTCAGCATCTATTCTGTTGCTTAATGTTTAAAAAGGGCACAGTTAGTGTTTGGCTATGAATGCATGCATGGTCTCTTAGCTCTGTATCCATGGGAGCTTTGGCCACTTTCTAGAACCCAAGCTTCCAATTTCCTAGGCACCCTCTGTCATCATATTATCACCTACTATTTGCTTTCTCCTTACTCAGCTGACTGAGGACTGAGAGGACTAGTACCATACAGACAGGTTCCTAATTGACACTCTGCCCAATAGGTACTCTCCCAATGGACACCTTGCTGATTGACACACGTATAATGGATGGTCCACCTGTCCAATTAATACTTGCCGACCCAACCAATGGACACCCGATATATAGGCAGCTGCCAAACAATTCCCTGTCACTGGAAACCATGTCTATGCCCACTCTGCCCACCGCTGACCCTGCCAGTGCACAACCTGCCATTGTAGAACCCATCCACTAGGGCACCAAATCCTTTGGGCACTGGATTCAGTCAGTGGGCACCCTGTCCTCTTTTAATTTCCATTGAAGTTGCAGATAGAAAGGTTTTTAATCTGATGTTCAGTCCCATCAGTTTCTTACCACACAATATGGCCTAAAATGAACAATGTTTTAGGGGCTCTTTCTGCACCCACTTGAGCAGTTGGCTTGGAGCTTCCACTTTAACAACTACTTGCCCTAGAGCTCCACCTGCACTGATATTCAAGTACTGGACTGAAATTTGAACCTGGAAATGTTATGTTTCGGAGACCTGAGGCAAGTGCGAGCGATGTGTAAGACCAGAATCAGAACCTTGCAATGAAGACCAGTCAAGAATATTCCGCAAATTTGTTTAAAATAACAGAGTAAGTGTTAGGACCACAAGAAACATTGTTTTAAAAAAAAAACATTAGGGCCCAAGAAACACTGCTTTAAAAAAAAGTCTATAAGTTTATATTGTTGCTTCTTTAACATTCTTTCACAGAATGTGGGTATCATTGGCTCGGCCAGTAGTTATTGTCTACGCCTAATTGCTCTTGAGAAGGCGTAGTGAGCTGCCTTCTTGAACCGCTGCAGACTGTGTGGTCCATATATTGACTCATTGTACGTTTAACTCACATTTATAAGGTAGTTTCTCTCCATTCAGACGATATATAAAATGGGCTTGGCTGCATCACTGACTAAAGTTGACCCCCAAACTGCTGAAGAATGCACCAACAGAATTTTCGTTCAGCTGGACAAAGACAGAGATGGTGAGTGAAATTTTTTTTATTAACTCAAGGGACATGGGCGTCACTGGCTGGGCCCAGCATTTATTGCCCGTTCCTAGTTGCCCTTGAGAAGGTGGTGATCAGTTGCCTTCCTGAACCATGGCAGCCAATGTACACAAAGTTGAAGATATTCCTTTACTTTTCTAAGAAACATAGAATCATACAGCATGGAATGACCCATCATGGTTACCCTAGCTCTTTGCAAGAGCTATCTAATAGACCCAGTTATACAGTTGTAGAGATCTACAGTACAAAACAGACCAGTCAGCCCATCATGGCCATGCTGGTCAAAATGACCACCTAATTATTCTAATCCCATTACTAGCTCTTGACACATAGCCTAAATGCTTCTTAAATGTTATGAGGATTTCTGTCTCTACCACCCTTACCTTCCTACCACCCTCTGGATAAAAATATTTTTCTCCACATCTCTAAAGCTTCTGCTCCTTACCTTAAATCTAGGCTCCCGGTCCTTGATCCCTCTATCAAGAGGAAACGTTTCTTCCTGTCTAAACTATCTATATCCCTCATAATTGTATACATCTCAATCCTGTCCCCTCTCAGTCCCCTCTGCTCTAAGGAAAACAACCACAGTCTGTCCATTCTCTCTTCATGACTGAAACTCTCCAGCCCTGCCAACATCCTGGTAAATCTCCTCTGCACCCTCTCCAGTGCTATCATATCCCTCCTGTAATGTGGATTCCAGAATTGCACACAATATCTTTGCCCAAACAAATGTTTTATACAGTTTTAGCATACCTTCCCTGCTCTTAAACTCTCTGCTTCAACTAATAAAGGCAAGCATACCATATGCCTTCTTAATCACTTTATCGACCTGCCCTGAGGTGTACATGCTCATGAGGGACTGGTGTAGGTCCCTCTGATCCTTTGTGCTTCCTAAAGCTTTACTGTTCATCATGTATTCCCTTGCCTTGTTTGGCATGCCTAAGTGCATCAGCTCACAGTTATCCAGATTAAATTCCATTTGTCATTGATCAGGTCACCTGATCAGCCTATCTATATCTTCTTGTAGTCTAAGGCTATCCTCCTCAATATCTACTACCCCCTCCCAATTTTTGTATCATCTGCAAACTGATGGACCCTCCTACATTCATGTCTATATACCATAGCAAGAAGGGCCTCAACAATGACTCTGTGGGACCCAACTGGACTTGCATTCTGAAAAACACCCTTCCAACATCAACCTCTTTTTCCTGCCACTCAACCAATTGTGGATCCAATTTGCCAAAGCTTCTTGGATCCCAAGGACTCTTAGTTTCCCGTGTGGGACCTTAACAAAAGCCTTACTGAAGTCCAAGCAGACTACACCAATGACGTTGCCCTCATCTACACACCTGGTCACATCTTCAAAAAACTCAATCAAGTTGATTACTAACCCTACAATTCCTACAACCCTCCCTTTATAGTGCTGCCTTTAACCTTCCAACTTTGCCACTGAGACTGTAAATTAAAATTATGATACTTCAAGCCTCTTTACAGATTTTATTAATGATGTATAACCCAGATTCTCATTTGCGAAAGAGATACAGTTGAAGGAGACTTTTTACAAGCATTGTCCTCCTCATACCAATTTCTGAAAGAAAGTTAATTTTCAAATTTCCTTACTGTCCTGAGTTTGACATTTCCAGGATCATCTATTCCCTCACTGTCCTGACTGGCCTCCCACCTTCAACCCTCTGTATACTTCAGCTCACCAAAACTCTGCTCCCCATATCCTGTAAGTAATGCTGAGGGTGGTGAATGGAACGGGCAAAAGGTAGCAACTGAATGAAGTTGCAAAGATGAGTGCTGGGGCTCCTGTTGTTCACAAGTCATATTTACAAATAGTCATTTGGTACAAAATGTGAGTATTCCTGACAAAGAATCCACTTACCAGTTAATCAGGACTCTCTTATTACGCAGTATAAAATGTTGGTTTCTCTTTACATTGGCATTTCTTGTAAATTCTCCTGATGAATGCAAGACTTCATCAAAATATCAGCAATTTAGATTTTGCATTAATAAACCTTATGGCAGCACCAAATTGGGGATATCATTACCATCATGAATTTCCCCACTATCAACTTCCTTTGGGTTACCCTTGTTGACCAAAAACTGAACTGGACATGTAAATACGGTGGCTTCAAGAACAAGTCAGATGCTAGGAATTCAGCGGTGAATAACTCATATCCTGACTCACAGAGTCGGAGAGATGTAGAGTTACACAGCACGGAAACAGACCCTTCGGTCCAAATCGTCCGCACCAACCAGACATCCCAATCTGACCTAGTCCCATTTGCCACCTCAAGCCTTGTCATCCATTTACAAGTGACAAATCAGGAGTGTGATGGAATTCTCTCCACTTACCTGGGTGAGTTCAACTCCAACTACAACCACATAGTTTGACACTATCAAGCTCAAATCAGCCAATTTGACTCCTATACCTACCCTTCTTCCATCACTGATGCAGAATGGCAGCAATATGTACCCTATAAGATGCACAGCAGCAATACATCAAGACTCCTTCGACTGCCATAATTGAAACTGATTTCACCGACATCATGTTCCCATGTAACTGCTCACCTTGTCCCTCTGGATGATGGAAGTTGTAGGTTTGGAAGTGCTGTTGGAGATGCTGCCATGCATCTTGGAGATGGCACACACTGCTGCCACTGTTTGTTAGTGTCAGAGGGATTAAATGCTGAAAGGTGCTGGTCAGATGTTGTCCCAAATGATGTTGAATCTCTTGGGCATTATAGCATATCTACTCATCCAGACAAATGAAGCAAAGTAACTGCAGGGTTCACTCAGCAAGATCAATGATGTATATTTACCCACATACAGGGTCCAGACATTTCAGCCAGCATTGCAACCTATGCATTTTAAGAAAGATTTGGATAGATATTTGTTTCCTTATCTTTTCAGCTGTTATCAGCCAGCAGGAATTTATCGAAGGAGCTCTGGGGGATCAGTGGATCCGTGCAATGCTGGAATGTGATCCCAATACGGTCGACGTTCCAAGGTGTCCTTAGCTGTCTCATTCTGCTAATGAGCATTTCATATTGAGAATTCAACAAGGTTGATCTGAAATAAAGGGCTCAATGGATTCGCCCTACAGCCAGACCCAATCACTTGGGGGGAACTGCTGCGAAGAACGCAAAATTAAAAGGGGGTTTGCAGACCCCAACCTCAGCTGCACTTCTTGCGTTCCCACACCTCTGCCCTCACATCCCCTTCCCCCAGCAAAAACAAAGACAGAAATCTCCCTTGTCCGTGCGTATCACCCACTATCCTCCATATCCAACGTATCACTCCCGCCACCTACAAACCAACCCCACAACCAGAGATATTTCCCTCCCCACCCTTATCTGCCTTTTGTAGGGACTGCTCTCTCTATGTCTCCCTCGTCTGCTCCACACTCCTCACTAATTACACCACCTCCGACACTTTTCCCTGCAACCGCAGGAAGTGCTACACCTGCCCCTATACCTCCTCCATCACTCAGAATCCCTACAGTGTGGAAACAGGCCCTTCGGTGGAACAAGTCCACACTGACCCTTGCAGCATCCCACCCAGACCCATCCCCCTATAACCCACACGTCCCTGAACACTATGGGCAATTTAGCATGGCCAATCCACCTAGCCTGCACATCTTTGGACTGTGGGAGGAAACCGGAGCACCCGGAGGAAACCCACGCAGACACAGGGAGAATGTGCAAACTCCACACGGATAGTCGCCCAAAGCTGGAATTGAACCTGGGTCCCTGGCGCTGTGAGGCTGCAGTGCTAACCACTGAGCCACCGTGCCTCCATTCAAGGCACAAAACAAACCTTCCACATTAAACAGAGATTCACCTGCACATCCGTCAATGTGGTCTACTGCATCCGCTGCTCCCGATGTGGCCTCCTCCACATCGGTGAGACCAAGAGGAGGCTCGGAGACCATTTTGTAGAGCATCTGCACTCTGTTTGCAACAAAAAACACCACCTTCTGGTTGCGAGCCATTTTAACTCCCCCTCCCACTCCCTGGGTGACATGTCCATCCTGGGCCTCCTCCAGTGTCACAATGGTGCCACATCATCCCCACCTCCTTAACCTCACACAACCTGTCCATCTTCTCTCCCACTTATCTGCCCCTCCCACCTCACTGACCAACGCCAACCACTGCCTACCTGCGCCCATCTATCACCATCCCACCTATCTTCCCCAGCCCCACCCCTCCTCTCTATTTATTTCTGAGATCCCTTTCCCCTCCCCATTTCTGAAGAAGGGTCCTGACCCGAAACGTCAGCTTTCCTGCTCCTCTGATGCTACCTGGCCTGCTGTGTTCCTCCAGCTCCACACTGTGTTATCTCTACAAAATTACAGGGAAGTACTGTAACTGGAAATAAAAGGAACATCCTGAAATTATCATGTAAGGACGGAATTTGCAGTCAGCAATTTTACCACAGTTTGTCATGTTTGTCACATTTGTCCCATACACCTGTGTTAAATAAATGCAAGAAGGAACTTTCCAATAGGGAGAGATGATTACCTAATGATAATATCATTTGTAATCCTGAGGGTTCAGGCTAATGCTCCTGCAACTAGGTTAAAATCTCCCACAGCTGTTTGTGAATTCTGAATTCAACTAATAAATCTGAAGATTGACACCACATTGACAAGCATTCACTTCCTCCATCACTGACCCTCAGTAGCTGCAGCCTGCACCATATACAATGTCAAAATTCACCAGGGCTGCTTGGACAGTATATTTCAAACCCACAAATGCTACCATCAACTGCAACGTGGATGTATCTACACCCTACAGATTGTAGCAATTCATGACAGCAGCACATCGTTATCTTCTTCAGGACAGCTAAGGATGAGAAATAAATGTTTGCCCAGCCAGCATTGCCCAAAACTCGTTAGTGAATAATAAAAAAAGTTATTAGCCAGTGAGTGTGAAAAGATCATCGATTATTGTATAAACTCACTTGGTTCACTAATGTCCTTCAGAGAAGGAAATCTGCCATCCTTACCTGGTCTGGTATATGTGTAACTCTGGACCAAAGCAACGTAGTTGACTCTTAATTGATCCTCTGCAATTATCATACTGAACCACTCAATTCAAGGGCTGGCCTTGTTGATAACGCCCAATGGATAAAAGGAAAAACTGTGGGATAAGCGAGCTAAGCCCTGTTTTGACAACAACATTGATCAGAGGCTAAGGACTCGCTGTACCATCTTTGCAATCCCCAGACTGACACATCACTCAACGCCAGAGTACACTGCCTGCGATAATTCAATCTGCTAAAATTAAACAGGACCAGCTATGGTTCAGAGGGTAGCTCTGAATTGAAATGGCATGGCTCAATACCCTACTCTGGAGATTTGGGCACTACATTGTAATACTGAGAGATAGCTAAACGGTCAGAGATGAGACTTTTGGATGAGTTTATTCATTCATTCAGGTAGCACGGGTGTGGTTGACTGAGTCAGTCATTACGGCCCACTCCTGGTTGTCATTGAGAATGTGGTGATGAACTGCCTTCTTGCTGTAATCCATCTGGTGTAGGCAGAACGACAATGCTGTCAGGGTGCAGGCTTCAAATGTTAACCTTGGTCTGTCCTCTCAGTTGAACACAAAAATCTCCTTAATCACTATTTTAAGGAAGAGCAGGAGAATAGACCCTGGTGTTCTGTCTGATACTCATCTCTCAATTGTCAATTCTGCGATGGGTTATCAGTTCATTGTCATATTTTTTGTGGGATTTTGTTGTGCACAGATTTGCTGCCTTTTCTCTATCATTACAGCAGAGATCACACTCCAGAAGGACTTCAGTAGCTGTAAAATGCTTTGGGATGCACTGAGGAGGTATATGGCTCTATTGAAATGCAAGATCTATCTCTTTTCTTTCTGCAGTGAGCTGTAGGATCAGTGAAGTGGAATTTTGCTTCCTCAATTCCTGTTGCTTTGAATTACTGTAACATTATGTGATTCAAGCAAAATATCTTTGCGGACCAGCAGCAGTGTATTAGAAGAACTTTAATGTTATATTCCGAGGAGGTGCAGCTCCTGGGTGCTCTTGTTGTTACTATGGCACTGTATGTGATTTGATTTCTCAATCTGATTTAGACTGTAAAAAGCACATTTGGATCAGAGTACTTCTAATAAATAGGAATGTCAGAAAGGAACTTGATAAACTGTCTCAGTTGTAGGTACACAAAGGGCAGAGCCTAATCGGAGTTTGGATGATGTAGACTATGCTGAGATATGTGGCAGAATTGGATGACAAGTCCAGCAAGGCCCATCCCAATATTGGGAGCACCTACTCCATTTATATGTTTTTAATTAGCGATGTGGTGAATTTCTCAGTAGTCAGCAGCGATTTCACAATCACATAGAGTAATACAGTGCGGAAACAGACCCTTCGGTCCAACTCATCCATGCTGACCAGATATCCTAAACTAATCTAGTCCCATTTGCCAGCATTTGGCCCATATCCCTCTAAACCCTTCCTATTCATATACCCATCCAGATGTCTTTTAAATGTTGTAATTGTACCAGCCTCCTCCACTTTGTCTGGCAGCTCATTCCACACACAGGCCACCCTCTGTGTGAAAATGTTGTCCCTTAGAACCCCTTTAAATCTTTCTCTTCTCACCTCAAACCTGTGCCCTTGAGTTTTGGACTCCCCGACCCTGGAAAAAAGGCCTCGTCTACTCACCCTAACGACGCACCTCATGATCTTATAAACCTCTATATGGTCACCCCTCAGCCTCTGATGCTTCAGGGAAAAATTGCCCAGCTCATTCAGCCTGTCTCTTTTGCTCAAACCCTCCAGACTCAGGCAACTTGTTAACCATGTTGTTAACAGTGCAACTCACCTCATTAATATTCAGCTTTGTTACGTCTCTCTTGGGTAACGCCCTGGAAATATAGCTCCGCTATTCCCAGAGTGGTTCCAAAGACAAAGTGCACGGAATTTCCCAATTTACCCGACTTTCAGACCCAGGTTGATGAAAGTACTTAACAAAAATTGCAATTTATTCCAAGTAAAAAGACCCCAGCTGCCGGTAAACAATTTTTGGCATATAACTCTATTAGTTAAAACTCTAATTCCTTTGTAAACTGACTGTATACACACACACACAAACAGACACAACCAGGGACAAAGCAGTGGGAAAGCCAGGGCAGTGGGAAAAACTGGGAAAGCAGTTTGTCAGTCCCTGTTCACAGGATCTGCTGAGATGATTTTTGTGCTGATCAAAACAAGCTTCTCAGTCTTCCTTCTCTCACTTCCACTTGAGCTTTCTTTTGTTTCTTAGTTCCTGATACTAGTTTTGGATTTTTCTAAATGGAAATTAAATGCTAACAGTGATGCTGGTGAGATTTAAACCTCTGACCCTAGATCAGTAGCCTGGGCCTCTAGATTACTGGTCCAGTGGCCTGGGAAGTCACTAGCCAACAACAGAAGAAAAATGTGGCACCTTCCGTGCTCCTTCTTGGATTATGATAAATTTGAAGCTTTTTTTCCAGTGGTAACATTCTTAGTTGCTTGAGGCTTCCTTTATGTAGCTCCACCCTCATTCCCAGCTCTTCACAATGAAGGGTGTAGAAGATTCAATAGCAACTTGCAAAGTGAATAAAGTGGGACGTAAGAAAAATTGTAAGCTTTTGGAGAAGGCGAAAGGGATTCTCAAAGAACTGGCTCAGGAATGTTGGGCTGAAGGTTTCCTAATGTGTTTCATTGGTTCATACTGGTACCAAAAAGTCTGGGCTGAGGCATGCTCATAGGCACAGTGCCAAGGCGGAAGGATATCTGACAGAGAGTTAGAAAGTTCATCTCTGTTTCTCTGAAAAGTCAATTGTAAGAGAATTTAAGGAAATCAGCTGAATGCTGTGTTCACAAGACTTATTTTTAGAAAAAAAAGCGTTAGAGCAGCCTAGAAGTGTAATGCACCATTGATAGTGTTTGATATGTTTTTTCTGTTTTGATGTATCGCAGGGGTTTTCCTGGTGCACTAACACCAAACATGGGGATTGATCTAAAAACTGAAAGGACTCTGGATGCTGTAAATCAGGAACAAAAACAGAGATTGCTGGAAAATCTCAGCGGGTCTGGCAGCATCTGTAATGAGAAAATCAGAGTTAACATTTTGGGGGAAAGATCATCGGACCCGAAACTTTAACTCTGATTTTTCTTCACTGATGCTGCCAGACATGGGGATTGATATTGTGTTTGTTTGGAGCCAATCACTCAGGATATCGGTAGGACAAGCACTATTACAGGAATCCTATGTGACATCATCTGACATGAATTTACACCTTCATCTCTCTCTCTGTCTGTCTGTCTGTCTGTGTCTCTCTCTCTCACTACATTGCAAAGACTGTATCTTTTATTTTTCTGCATTTTTGTTTGTGGACTGAATTGGTTAAAGGACTATTTTCAAAGCCAAGGAAGGTTAAAGATTTACTGCACTTTTTAAAAGAATGTTACCCGATAGTCAATGTAAATGCTGTTAGCTCGAGCAATGGGAAAGTCTTGTTGCAAACACGCTTGAGCTGGGGGACTGTGGACCAATGAGGATATGTCTGCAACAAGTGGCTGATTGGTCTGTGGATTGGTGACCAGTTATTAATGACAAAGGCCTGCTTCCTGCCAACAGTGATGTGATTGGCTCCCAGGTAAATGAACAGCTTGTGGGTGTGAACGATCAGGCCAGAAGCTATCAGACCTCTAGAAGCAAAAGAACAGTTTTTGCCCCGCTGTGAAAAGCATCTCAAGCTCGAAGATAACCAATTTATATTTTCCCTCATCAGTTGCTGTAAGCTGTGTCTTAATCACGTGAGAGACCTTTATACTTGTGAACCAGGCACCCTGTGCCTCCTGAAAATAAGCAAAAGTACCAAGAGAAGAAAAATGAAGGAGCAGCTTCTTGCCGAACCAAAAGGAACATATCAGAAAACCCTGAAAAAAGCAACCATTGCACTACCTTCCCAGGTTTTTCTTCCTAACACCCATTGTTTTGTTTTGGTGTCTGGCTATCTCTATATGTGAGTAAAGAGAGAGTTTATAAGGAGGTTAGTGTTTTTACAAGTTGTAGCATGCTGATTACTCATAACAGTTTACCAGTAGCTAGAATGTATCTATTTCTAATAAATTTAAGTATTTAAATTCATTTAAGTACTGAAACCTGGTGTGTGCTTTCTGTCATCCTGGGTCGAAAAGGCAAGTAAATTGGCGAATTCTGCATTCTTTTAAAAATCTTTAACATTTATATTGACTCCAGGAACAGCAGGGCTTGATTTTCAACATGCTAACCCGGTGAGGAGTAACAATATCTCACTCTGAAAAGTTTTCCTTCCTGATTGTACACAGGCTTCAGAAATGTTCCCATTGCTGAACTTAGCAAACAATCAAGACGTTAGGGCCAGGATTGAGTTTCCCCTCTTATCAACTCCACAATATCTGCTTGTGATTGGGTTTTACAAACAGCCTGTAACATCACAACAGCATACTGGGGTGTCTCAATGGCAGACACGTCATCTCCAGTTTGCAGAGTTATTGAGTTATAGAGGTATAGATGTATACAGCACAGTAATAGGCCCTCCAGCCCAACTCGTTCAATCTGATCAGGTTTTCTAAACTGAACTAGTCCTGTTTGCCTGCA